AGAGAAGTTTGATAAAAACTCTCAAAATCACTTGAGTAATCTACAAACGCAATAAAAAACATAACTTTCTATTTAAAATAATAAAGTCGATATCTTTTTCCGGTGTAACCGGAAGTGCTGCCATCGTGAAAATATTTTCATTGAGCAGAATCTAAACGATTATGGCTATAGTCAAAATTTTAGAAAAATATCACTGTTAAAACTTCCAATACTTCTTATGTGGGGTTTAGCCGGAATAGCCTGTTTCTTGTGTAACTTGTTTTTTTATTTGTTTAAGTATTATTATTTTTATTTCCAACTAATAAATTTGATCAAATTTTCGAAGATAACTTCATTATTCTTAATAAAGCGCTTGCGGTTTATCTTTCGAAATCCGGGTGAGGATAAAAGTTTTTAGTTTTAATTGAATTGTCAATTTGGCTATTTCACTGGTTTAGTCTTTGGTCGGTATTCTGCGGGCTAGTTAGAATATATTCAATTAGTGGGTCCAAATCGTCTTCGAGATAACCGAGTTATTAAGAACATGGCTATGAAGTTAAATGGGCCAGAATCAAAGAAAGCCTTCGAATAAAGCTTGGGTAATAAACACCGCATTTAGTAAGCTTATAAAGCTTTCTCATTTGGAAGAATTCAAAGCTGTGCCTTGATGATTCCAAGTTTGGAAACTTTATTACTAACGAACTCATTTAACAGATTAAGTAGTTAGTCATTTTAATTTATGGCTTGTTTGTTGTTAAAAACTAGCAACTCAAAGTTGGAGCCGGAAAACTAGTTATAAATTTTCATGTTTGTCTTTTTAATCTCGAGCTGATGCGATAAAAACTGATTTCTGGGGACGGATGAAATTTTTGGGATGGGAAGCGAGGCTTCAGTGGATCAGATTAAATTGTTCATTTATTGTTTGCAGAGTTGTAAGGTGTTGATTTCATTAAGTGCTGGGCAAACTAATATTGCGGACTGGTATAAATTCCTGAATACACAACATTAACTATATTTGCTTACATACTTAGCCAAGTTCGCAGTGGTGCTGAGCTTGCAGAGTCTAGGATACTCTCCCTATCTTCGAAGAGGAGGTCAATAATTTATGTTTTAATTAATTCAGTCGTTCTCCCTGGCCAATCTGAACAGAGATATAAAAAGAAATAGAAGGTAATGTGTTATCTTGAGCAAGCCTATTTTGTTTTACGATCAACTGGGCTTCCACACCCACGAGACTCATAACTTTTCACCAGTAGATGGAAAAATTCACTACACACTCTGACACAAAACTGTTGATAGGTAAAGAAAGTTTTGTGAAGGGTTTGTTGTTTTATTATCAAAGAGGGAATCTTTCGGTAATAAGGGAATGCAGCGTAATTACCAGACGCTGATGGATTTCCCTGCAGGGCATAAACCGTTTATTTTTTGAATCCCTTACCAGTTGGAAATCAAAAGCTCGTTTGTGAAAACTCGTTCACGGGAAACATGAATGGAATTTTATATGATGTGTAATGTTTTTTAAAGATTTCGAAATTTATTTTCCCTCATTTTCTCCGACAACTTTAATATCCGCACCATCGGGTGTTTGAAAATAAAACGCGTTAACCTCCTATATTAAAGATATTACAATTAAAAGGATAACGCCTCGTAACCTCTACTTTTACGAGCAACTTTTTGCAGAAAGCTTAAAATTAAATGTTCTCCAATGAACAACCCTAAACTTCAGCACCTGACAACGAACAACGAAAAAACGAAACTCAACTAAGGGAAACCCTGAAATAATAATTAATCTTATCTGCTGAGTTAGAGACGAGGCATGATAATAGATTAACGCTCTAACTTCCACAGAAACTTTCGCCAAACGTCGGAAAAACGAACACTAACAAATTGTTGCGATAAAAGAAAAATTACACCTTTTTAAACAACTTCACTAAACCATAAACTTGGTAATTAAATGTAAGTAAATCAAATTGCGTATTTAATAGGCACCATAACACTTTAATTCTTAACATGTTTGATCCGTTTTCTCAGATCGTGTCTAAAATAATTAGCACAAAATGAGGATAAAAACAGTCACGCTACTGGCGTTTTATTTTTTCGATGAAAATAAATCGATTTGTACTAGTAAGACTTGTAAGACAAATAAAGAATTAAATCACGAAACCAAAATATGATTGGTTTTAAGTGTCCAGGAAACCGAAAACTGTATTGTATCTTTATTTTTTACAATTTTTTGGTACAATAAAACTTTTGAATTTTGGTGGGTTGCAACTTTTGTCACATTGCGTCAAATTGTAGTTAGAATTTTTGATTAAAGTACCGCTTAAATTATACGGGGTGTTTCGTTTTTATTCAGTTTTAAGACAAAAGTTTTTGTTTTGAAAAATGTTATGTAAAGGAGCTACGCCCTTTAAAAGGGGTGCGTTTTTAAAATGTTTTTCCCAATTTTTGAGAATAGATAAGATTAGAAAATTTGGTTCAGTTTTACGAGTATACACCCAAACCAATTCCAAGATAAAATGTCAAAATTTTTAATCAGGGGCGTCCTAATGGTAAAACAAATTTATTTTTGAATTTTTATGCTTTTAAAATGCAACTCAATTTAATTTAAATTTTAAAACTGATTATACTCAAATTCGGTAAGTTGTATCGGAAAAACGCAAAAGACCTTTTTTATAAAAAAACTATGAAAATTAGAATAGTTCGAGTACCTACTTTTTATCCTAAACCCACCCAGTTTAGAAAACTCCTGATTAAAAATTTTAACTTTTTATCTTTGAATTCGTTTAGGTGTATAAAGGTTATCATTTGAATCAAATTTTGTAATTTTTTTCTAAAATGGTTGGAAAGTATTGGAAGAAACCCATTAAAAGATGCACCCTTTTGAGAGGGTAGTATTTTGCGTAGTATTTTTCAATACATTTTCATAGGAAACTTTTGTCTTAAAATTGAATGATCTATCTTCTGTTTGAATTTGTAAAAATTAAAATGGAACAGCTTGTATACATATAATTTTATTCAAAAAAAACAACGCAAATATTTCTAATTAGTTTGTTAATTTTAAACAAAATTATTGATTCTTTTATAATTAAAACTAAATAAATTGATTTAATTATTTGTGTATTAATTTACTGCACCAATAATTATAATAATATTTTTGTGGGTGATGTGTTTTATGTTGTATTTCATTCGCTAATAATCATAAATAAATACGTATGATTACTAAAAGTATATAAGGTGAATAAGTAATTTTATGAAACTTATTATAATAATGATAATAATAAACATACAGGACGTCCGAAATGTCACGCACCTTCGTGACACTGTATCATCGGGTGGTGCCCTAGACAACAAGAAAAATGTTAAAAAAGTCTATCTATAAAAATTTCGAAGTTATGAGAGTTTAAATTTTGCATTTGACTATTTATTTCTGTTTGAAAATAATTTTTTTTGCTACACGCTATTAGAAGAGGAAACAATGTTATTTGTGGCTTTTATTGACGAAGTTTTTGTACTTTTATTAAATAACATATATACAAAATCATCAGTATTACTAAATAGACAAAAAAAATGTCAAATATCAAAAAATAAATGTCAAAATTTTTTGACAAATAGAATTTTTTAGACGTTTTTTCAGTACTCTGTAAGACTACCTAATTACTCCCTTTCAAGAAGGTACGCGACTTTCCGGACATGCTGTATATCTTAACTATATTATATTTTTTAGTAATATTTTTTTTGCTTTATAGCATTATTATTATTATTAAAAATTAATAGTTAAACGGAAGATTATTTCACACACCTAGCAAAAAAAGTTTTCAATGTTTTTTTTAAAATTTTTCTTCTTAAGATACATTTTCTACATTCCTACAGCTTTTTTAAGGTTTTAGTGAAATATTTAGAAAACTTTTTTTACTTAAGTTGAATTGTTTATTTTACAAAATTACTTGAAAATACATGTTAATGCTTGGATTTTGCAATTTGAGCTAAAGACGAAGCAGAAGGTCATTAGCGATTTCGCTATCAGTTTCAATCAATCTCTGATGTGAACTCTAATGAATAAAAAAAGATCCAGTTCTGGCAATAATACTTCTTGGTTCATAGCAGTGCTTGAAATATTTTCCATAAAGTAGATAACATCAAGTAATGTTTCTTCTTATCAGGAACGTAATTACAGCCCGTGGACCAGCAGAATGTTCTCCGAATCTTGAATCTGGATGTTGATTGATCACCAAATTCTTTTTACTTGTTTTACTGCTTTCTAAGTAAGGTGTCGGTGCGTGTGTCGTGAAAATTTGTTGTTGCTAATAGAGCTCGGATCAGAAAGTTTGATGAATGTCTCGGGCAATAAAATTTCCGTTTACTATCGGCCACAAAAACTGATTTCCCATAATTCGCAGGATGTAAACGAAACATCACGAAATTTTATTCGGCAATAAAAGAAAAATCCTTTTCTTACCTTGTAGGTGTGGACAGGCGTCGTAATGAAAATGCCGTCCATATTTTTTCATGACCATTTTGATTTATTCCGCCACATAAAAAACTTTATTACGGTCACGGTTTCTTCAGCTTTATGAATTAGTTTCTTGCTCACACTTATCTGTGACATTTACAACAGAAATAACGACTTTATGCCTCGGGATTACTTTTTAAATAGTCTCCAGCGGAAAATCCTTCATTTGCTAAATTAATTTATGAAAGTGCTGTGTTTCGCGTTTCTTGAACGCTTTTTCAACAAATAAATTTCACCGAGAGTCATGTGCACATATCGACGGTTTCAATAAAATTCAATACATTGAATAGAATATAGGTGGTGACATCATATCTCATAACTCACAGGGTGAATGCGTTTTCGACTCTAAATCATTTACAGTCTGTTGAACGTTCAAAACCATTGTCGTATTTTGCCTTAAACTTTACATTTTCGTTTTAAATCGCCGTTAAATCACATTGAGTACCGCGCCATTATTTAGCTTGTTTTATGGGTTGCCTATGGCCTATCTTCAAATAAGACACAGATGAGGCTTTTGTAGCGTATATTTTTTTAAATAATAAACTTCCCAACATATATTATATAAATAATATCATTACAAACAATTCCATTACTAAGCTAACTTTACTAAAAATACGATATTTTACATAACACTTCCATTTTTATTTCCCTTTTAAAGAATGTGCATTTAGGCCAACGAAACCGACAATAACTTTATCGACATAACAAAAACCCAAAACGAAAACAGTCTATTAATTTTCTATTAGCTAAGCTATTTTTAAGCATTTATCACGTTAGCTTAACACATAATTCAGTCATTTATTACATCTCTTTGCAAGGTATGATATGTTTCATTTTGTCGACGTTTAATTTAGCACTAGAATTGTTCTGATCACGTCACTAGAGTCTTGATGATATTGGAGTGATATGGATTGTTCACTAGATATGGCGACACTCAGTGCTGTTTCCAACTGTTTGCCTTATAGTAGACGTCTTTGTACATGCTGGGACATTGCTTCCCCGCCTAGAAAAACATACCACAAATTAAAAAAAAACATTAATGAAACATTAATAAATAAATGAAGCCCGTTAGTGGTTTTATTTGTCATTTCAGAACAAAGGCTTTTGTTAAATTGGTAAAATGTAGTTTTATTGTTGCAACAATATGAAGATACAATGAAAGGAAATAAACAACAATACTAGATTATTATGGCTATTGTTCGATTTATTTTTTACGTAAGAACAAAAACAGTAATTCATTGTTTTTATTGTTTATTTACTTATTTTGTTTAACTTAAGTTTTAGTTTATTATTAATAAACAACTTTAGTTTATGCAAGTTATGCATGGTGACTACTTAAAATTATGTTCTATAATAATTTTGAGATTAGACAATAAATTTAATATTTATTTTTACACCCTCTTGTATTATTCAGATATTAATACATTTGTTTATTAGATAACTATTAAAGCATTTGGGTAAATCCATGTAATTGTCATTTAAAAATGTATTTTTTCCGGCGCATCCACCACTTTTATAAAGGTATTTTTTTGATATATAGCTTTTTTTAATATTTGTGAAAATACAGCTTAATGAAAAATATTTTTCAATTGTAAAAAATATTACTTTTTATTTTGTTTTATTTTATTCATACTTAATGCACCCATTTTATAAAAAAAAATTCTTGAAATTATTTTGTGGTCGGAAAAACCGTTCTACAGAACTAACTAGTTCAATATTCTCTACCAGACTTGTTAATTAATAAAACTCTTATAAAATTTATCATACCTAGTACAAGTTTTGAAACAATGTAGTGTAATTAATAAAAATAAAATCAAGGATGTTCAAGTGCATGAAAAATTTTGTATGCACCACGTTTGTCAAGGATTGGACTCGACTCGTAAGCTACCAGGACTTGTTTATAGACAAGCAAAACCTCTCTTTCCAGACTAGTTATGTAAAAATACTATTTCTTTGGTATTTATTTGTTACGGCTACCAGGACTTGTTTATAGACAAGCAAAACCTTTTTTCCAGACTAGTTATGTAAAAAATACCATTTCTTTGGTATTTATTTGTTACGGTTTTAGAAAACAATTTCAGGAAATTTTTCAATAACATTTTACGTCTAATGATTATACCTTACTAAAGTGTGATAAAAATAGAAAACTACTAAATTAGAAAAAAAGAAAGTAACAATTAAACATTTACAACTTATTGCACGTGAAACGTCAAATGAAATGACAAGTCGAAAAGTAAAAGGGCGAAATCGAAATGTGCTGGAATTACAGGCTGATGTACAATAATAATAGGACCGTTTTTTTTTTGAAGGTAAATCATAAATTTAGTTATTAAAATTATCATCTTTTTGATCCTGCTATTTTATCCTTTAACTTTGTCATTTATTTTATTTCACGTTTCACAGACATACGTTTTTGGATCTACAAATGACTTGATTACACAATTAATTATCTTGATTTCCCGATTAAGTGTAATAGTGAAATGTGTATAGGTAAGTAAAAAAAAAGGTAACATGAAATGTATAATCAAAATAAAGAAATAAATAAATCTTTTCCTTGTTTTGTAATTTATCATTAATATTGAAAAAATAGTTCCTAAGTTATTTGCAAAACTGACCAAAATTTTGACAAAAATCGAAAATATTATTAAACATTAAAATTTTTTATTTTTTCTATAAACCTATTTGGGTGTAATTGAGATTGTAACACGTAAAACTATTTAGCTTTCTCGTAAAAATTATACCATTTTTTAAATATTGTGAGCCGTGAACAAACGAAATTTGACAATTCTACCGGTTCTTCTACTGGCAAAGAAGTTATTCAAATCGTGGCAAATAATGAAAGGCAAAAAATATTTGAACCAAGGCTAATCCTTTTAAAAAATACGATGAACTAAACGAAGATATGAATTTGTCTAAGAACATCCTGCTTTGTACTAAAACCAAAAAGAGAAACAAAAAAGTGCTTTCTTTGATTTATTTTTAAATTATGCATCAGTCCTTAGTCTTGAATACATCAAAATCTGCTGCCTTTACAGTTGATGTATTTGTATAAAATCAGGGACAAAAAGTTTTTGTCTTGTAAGATATTTTTAACCTCTCTGACGGTTTTTATCTAAGTCTCGAAAGAAAAATATATGATTATCCATTCTATTTGACATTTGACATTTTTTCTGAATAATTAATTTAAGTGTGTTTGAGGTTACAAAAACCTTAGTAATATGGATTTTTTGGGACAGTAAATTTTAAAAATGAATATTATAGTCGTGTTATTTCTTTGGTTTAGTTATTTGAAGCTAATTACTACAAATGATTAAACTTTTTGTTAGAAGTAATTGGAATTTTGCGCGTCGGGGGTAATAGTTTCGGCATCAAATCCAATCATTGATTGGTAGCTGAAGTCGTGAATAAGTTTATTAATACTACACAACTGTAACTGAAGCTGATGCTCAAATACAGGAAACTGCAATTTTGATGGCAATGTTGACTTATCTTATTGTCCTCCGATTTACATACGAATACCAGACATAAACTGATAGATTATAGCGAAACCGATGTCACTTCGAAATTACTGACACATTAGTGATGGATTATTCGTATTATCTCATCGCTGCTACACTAGCGTTGTGTAATTTGTAATTTGCAATTAACTACATCCACTGTCGAATTGTTTGCCTTTATAATTTAAATTAACCGAATTATCTATGCGCGACAGAAATATTAATTATCCACAACACGCCAATTTACCCTTTATTGCAAGCATTTGTTAACAAATCAAAATCGGTCGACGGATGAACACCACATTACCGAAACGGCTCATTTGTTAACACACTCGGAAATCAGCTATTAATTATCAAGAAAGGCGAAAGAACCAAGCACGTTAAATACGTCATAATCACACTTAAGACCTAACAAGATTACCATAAATCACTTACGCCACGACCTACCTAAACACAAACATTAACTAAACAAACAATCTATTATGAAACATGTATGAGCACACCTCACGTACTCTCGACGATCAACAATACACATTAATTATCAGATTTAAAAAAATTTAAATAGGAAAAATTGGATTGCGAGAGTATGTATTCAACGTGATCAAAATACAAGTTCGTGATTCTGAAAGTTAAACTTGCATTCACATTGTTTTTGAAATTTCTATCGAGAGAAAGACGACGATTTATGACTGATCGAAAATGGAAATGCGAGAGTTAATAAGCGTGAAAAAAGCCGAAGCAAATTTAATATATTGTAGTCTCATAAATTACAAATTTAACGGGAGTGAGGGACGATTGAGAATCACGAAAGAAATTCTGTACATTGAAGGATATTTACAACAAGCTTTTTTTCAACTGTTAGAAAGGTTTTAGCAACAAATTAAATTAACACACAGTGTGAGAATATAATATACAAAAAAGTTACACCCTTTTTTAACACAAATTTCTAATCCTTATTTAAATGTTTGATAAGTATTATTTTCAATTTTACTATTATTATTTGTTAGAAAACAGTACAAACAACCATTAATTTTGGTTTTTAACGAAGCTATGTTTTTCACTACTGCAGTTATTTATTTTAAATTACTCATCTAGTATAAGCAAGAACAATATTCGATTATTCGACACAAATGAATTACTGCTTTATGAGTAGAAATTATTATTATAACCTTGATTTTATTTACCACAATAAGGATTCAGCTGGTAGTTAAGTACTCTCATAAAATATAATTAATTTCACAACAACAAAAATAGCTTTGAGTTTTGTATTAAAATGTGAAATAAAATATTTGATTTTTAAATCAATTTATGGTACGCATAAAAATTATTCGGAATTTTAGGGTATGTCATTAATGTACGTTTTACGATCTGAGTTTTTCATTGCTTTATAATTTTTCCTTTTGTTGCAATTTTTGTTTCGCAGGAAGCTACATTTTGCAGCATATGGGTATAATAACGGTTTGTGGTAAAAGAAAAAAGTCGTAAAAAGTTTATATTATTTTTTATTTATTTCTGGTGTCTACAAGATATCGAAAAAACTGAGGAAGGTAAATATAAAATTTTTGATCTTTTATTAAATTTTTAACTCCTTAAGTATTTTTTAACGAATCAATGAAAGTTTTAGCTTATTGTGAATACGACTATATCGATTTTCAATAAAATCTTGCATATAAAATTGGGTCTGTCGAACTGCATAACAGGCAGTTATCATCACTGACGTTTTCTAATAATAGATGGTAAAATGAGAGAAATATTCAATTTAAGCTAAAAAGACCAAATCTGGTTTATTCAGGTCAGCTTAGTTTTATCACACTTCTAAATTGAAAAATATTGAAGTGGGCTAATTTTTATTTTTGCAGACACATTAACAATAGTGCTTTATTTCAAAAATGGGGCTTTATGGGATTAAGTCAGAATTGGGCCACCCGCAATCGGGGATTTGTTCCCATACAAATTCTCCGATAAACCATAAATAAGCGTTTAACATATTGTGCTTAAGGCTAAACTCGAAATTTTCAGTTATGAAAACACAAAACTGGGCTTACGTCAGTGCGGTGTTTAACACTGAAGTCAATATTAGTCCGTACTGGTCGATGATGCAGGGGTTGTGGTGGTCGGAAGTTGTTTCCCAATGGGGCTTTGGGGTGTTTGGCATCTCCTTGCATCAGTCTGCGTAACGCATGCATCTGGAAAAAAATTAAGTCAAATTATATAAAGTTGCCATCTAAAGCCATAAATGTAATTCCGCGTCTGACGGCCTTTCCGTTTCCTGCAGCGCAGCAGGATTTATGTTTCAGGGGCGTCCCGTCAAGATTCCCTCCGCTAATATGCTTTCAAGCAGACTATTTGGTGTGCTTTCCTGAGAGTGCTACCTCGCGAGCTTTATTCTCGTTTTTAATGGTTGGTTTGCTTTATTGTCCCCGCATCCGGGAGAATTATCATCCGGGGATAATTCGTCAAATTGGAGCTTCACTGCCAGACGATCGTCCCTTTAATTATCAGTTTTCGTGACGGAGATAATTATTAGGAGAAGATGGGGAAAAATCGGCACGTTTCGCGTAATGGCCATAACTCAATCGTTCATATTTAGGGGATAGATAAGAAGTTCTGATAATTCGTACATGTTAATCAGTCGGTCACTATTTCGATCTGAAACCGCGTGATTCATTGGCTACGGGAAATAAATTATCTAAGGGCATGACGAGCCGACACGCAGCTCACAGGAAACTCCAATAAAAGCTTCATTTGCACAACAATAGCCGGCCAAATTATTCAACTCTATGGTTACACTGTACTGATTTAACTTAACGATTGATTTGGAATTTTGCGAACCACGACAAAAGTCAAATGCGGACTGAGCGTCAGCGAATTTTATTCCACGTTAAGGTTTGTTTTGCGTTCTAATGTGATGACTTTTAAATCAGACAAATTGATTTTTCAGACCACGATGGCTACTAAAAACACGAACGTTTCGACCAACAGAAACATTTACTTTTTAACTCTCTTTAGCTAGTCAAGAAAATATTCATTAATGTAGAAAGCGTATCTAACACTAAACTGAAATTTATCGAAATTGAAATTAACTTTTTGTATTCAATAATTCCTCAGAATAATAATTCTTCAGAATTTGCGTTCCAAAACAAAATTCCATGTAAAGTAAGATATCAAGAACATGGAAAAAATGTTTAAAAAACTCTATCTGTCACAAATTTATAATTCTCTTTGCTCTGGGGATACAAGACTAACTTTTTTTTAAATGGCAAGAAGGATGAAATTTTATTTTTTTCTTAGTTCTGTGATGTACTTTATTTTTTTAGTTTTTTATCAAAACTTTAAAAAAAATATCGAACTAATAAAATTTTGTGAAATGTAAAATTTCGTTAACCTTGGAAATGTTGTCTTTATCTATCGTTAGCTTTTTGTCAGTCGACAACTAGTTTATTATTTTAATACAACATTTAAAAGAAAACTGATGATTTAAACCAAATTCAAGTACTAAATTGTAACCAAGTTAAACTCCACTTATTTAAAAACATGTTCTTCTTATAATCGAAGAATTATTTTAAAGAAACTGTGATTCTAAATCAAAATTTCATTGTTGTGAATTTAGAATTATACTCCTACTTACAAACGATTATTTATCTTTTTATCTTTTCTTTGTCACTTAATTTCAATTATGCATATTTACTAATCAAATGTTTTGGCGAAATATGTTTTTCCAATTTTAGTCTCCCCAACTGTCTTTTGTAGCACGATGTTTTGAAACGTCTCGAATGACATTTTTTTAAATTTAAGCATTTCTTTAAGAAATTTTTAAATGTTTTTTGCAACTCTAGAAATTTTTTAAACCAGTACATCTGACACTTTCTTAGTCTCCCCAACTGTCTTTTGTAGTACGATGTTTTGAAACGTTTCGATTGGCATTTTTACTACTAAATTTAAACATTTCCCTAAGACTTTTTCTTCTTCTGAAATCAAAGTCAGTACATTTAACACTTTCTTTTTACTCCAAGCCAAATTAATCCGAAGTAACCCAAAGTGGCCTAAAGTGACCTGAACCGATCTGAAGCTATTTGAAGTAACCCAAACATTATTTTTTACAATCAAAAAGACACTTTACTAAATAAAAATGAAACTCATAATCAAATCCGATAGGATTTGACCACATTTACTAGTTCAAGTACTAAATTGTAACCAAGTTAAACTGCACTTATTTAAAAACATGTTCTTCTTATAATCGAAGAATTATTTTAAAGAAACTGTGATTCTGAATCAAAATTTCATTGTTGTGAATATTTATAATTTATGTCTACGAATTTGTAAAAAATCAAGAAAAAACAAATCAAACTTATTGGAAACGATTTCGCTAGAAGTTATTAAACAGAAGTTCTTCGAATTTTGATAAAAACTAAGGCAAAATCAAATCAAATGATCAAATGATGACAGTATCAAAACTATGAAGTGTCTTTTCTGTTTTATGGTCGTGAATACAATTTTCTTATTTCCAACAATGTAATTTTGTGGTAACAAAAAATAATTTCAGCGACCCTCAAACTTTGTACTAATATAATGTTTTGGAGTTAAATAAAATTTTTAACAATAACAATTTAGTGAGTTTTTTTTCTAGGTTTTACTACTCTAAGACCGTAAACACCATGTCCTTATGAGAATGTTATAACGAAATAGAATTAATGTTAAATAGGTAGGTGTAATATAATTTTAAAAATTAATTCTGACCCGGCGCATCCTCCATTTTTGTTATTTGTGAGATTCTGGTTAGGTTTCAATATGTATTTTTGTGTCTAAAAAAAAGATATTACATTTGGGCAGGGCGTTATCGCAACACGTGACGCTTGTTTGTGAATGAACTTTTGTCGAATTTAACAAAGGATTCCAAGCAGGTGCGAAAGCAAAAAGCAAGTAAAATAGGGCTAAATCTAATTAAGTAGATTAGTGGTGTATTTATGGTTGAAATGGTTTTTTCCAATATTTGTCTTTAAATATAATTTTCAGCCAGAATCTTGCCTGAACGTTACCGAAATTAATAATTGTTACAAATTAGTAGCAACTTTAATTGTGACAGGCCGTGCAAGTCGGATATTGCTCATGATATCCATTAAGTCAGCCAAATTTTCCTACTTGTTCCAAAGTTAAGCGTGTTGAAATTTCCGAATAATTATTTGAATGACTATGTTTTAAACATCGCATGGAATGAATTGCCTGATGAGAAGAACCGTTGCTTCGAGCAATTAATTAAATTGGGTACTATTCGACACACAGTGAAATGAAAAGGTTTTTGCTCAATTTGACGTTTTTTGATCTTCGCTTATCGCAACCTATATGTAAATTAAACAAGACATAAACTGCTCTAATGTGATTATAGAGGTCAGATTAATCTCATACATATATTTTTATTTAGGGATGGTAAAATTACACTTGACGGCATGAATTAGCTCATAAAGACAATTTTTAAATTAAAAACTTTTTGGTTAATTACAGGTAGACCACTCATTAATATTCATAATTTCTCGCATGATGTATATCTCACGCTTTTTGCTTGCACTTTACTAATTACATTGTGTGGGAGCATAATTACATAGAAACTTCGGTGTCGAAAGCTTGTCAGTATATCGCAGTAGTATCAATTACACAGTTAAGTTTTTGTAAAAATATTTATTATTCAAATAAATTTAAAGTTCTGACACACCCTGTATAGTAAATAAAAAACGTACTATAAATTTCACGCATCCTTCAATATTTAATAAATCATTATTCATCTACTACTGTTATTCATTAATTACTGACATAAATAGATATTTAAAGGTGAAATGCTTGAATGGGTTATATTTAGCACCTGAATATGTATTATACATATATTCATTGTGTATTGTTAAAATGTCATACAGTGTACAGGATTGTTGCTTTACATTAAAAATTTTGGTAAAAAATATAGAATGACCCAGCGAGTTGAAAAAGTACTATATATATATATATAGTACATTGATTGATACTAATCTAGTCCATCGCCTAAAATTATTTTCAGCTATACAGCATGTCTCAAAAATAAGTTACAGACTTTTTTTTTTAATGAAACACCATATGTTTCTTAGCGTTTTTGGATGTAAATTTTTATGACATTATTTTTAAGCTAAACTTTTATTGGTCGATTTTGAAGTTTAAAAAATAAGACAGTTTTTTGACGAAAACATTCACTTTTAAAAAATTTATTACACAAGAACTAAGACATCTAGAAATATTTTTTTACTACCGCAAAGAAGAAGGTACAAGCTATAAGGTTGAAAAAAATTTGTTTAGTGTGTTGCATTTGCAAAGATACAAAAATTAAAGCGCTTGTTAAAAAAAATAACTTAAAAAAATTTAATGGAACACCCTATTTATTGTTTTTGCATTTAAAAGATTATTAAACTGTCCACAGTTGCACAAAAGATGGAAGAAATATCACTTAATAATCACATTTGTGTTAAACTAAATTTATTATTCTTTACTTTTACAAGAAAAATAATAAGAAAAAATTTGTTCTAGCTGTCTTAGGTTTTGTGTAATATATTTTTAAAAAGGCATGTTTTCGTCAAAAAACGTCTTATTTATAAAACTAAGCAAAATCGACTAATAAAAGTTTAGCGTAAAAACATTGTTTTAAAAGGCTACATCCAAAAATGCATAGAAACATTTTGTGTTTAATTTAAAAAAACACAAGTTTGTATCGTAATTTATTTTTGGGACATGCTGTATGGTTGAAAGTAATTTTAGGTGATGTACTAGATTAGTATCTATCGATGTCCTATACATTTTTTTAAAATTTCACTATTTAAATGGACTTTTTCAACTCGCTGGGACAGCCTGTAGTTTTCCATTTTATTTTCGTTTTTATTATACAAGGTGTTTTGAAATTAATAAAAAAAACTTGACTTTTGCACTTTTTTAACTTGGTTTTTTTGCATTATTTTTTTTTTAATATTCTGAGTTTTTATTACATTGGCTTGTATTTAGTTTATCTAGTGCGGATTAAACTAGAGACTCCGTTTGCTGACAGGGATTTGGTGGTGCAGTGATGATAACCGCTTTTGACAGGAGAAAGTAGTAGAGATTTGCGTCTGTGGTGTTAAATGTCACCCCAGTACGTACCTGTTGCTTGGTGATGTAAATAGGCTTGTTGAGGATCAACCATGTGACGGTTTCGTGGCAGGCCGGCATGGTTGTGGATCCATCGTAGGTCATATAATAGTCGGTTTCAGGAAGTAGTCCTCTCACCGAAAGTCGTTTCACTTCGACTTCATCCCCTGGGAACAAAATCAGTGCTTGAGTATTATTTAAACTAAACTGAAACTGAAATGTGTAGGCGTTTTCTCTCATTCAAAATATCCGTCAACATCAATGTTTTGAATTTTTAAAGAGTTATTTTTTCGGTTTGTGTCGAATGAAAAGAAATCTGAGGAGAACCTCGACCTCTACACACCTATTCATGGAGGATTTTTGTTGGTGTTTTTGTAATGAAACGAAATGCGAATAAACAAGCTTTACAAATTGTTATCAGTAAATCTTACCGCCGTATCTAATTTTTTCTAGCTGATCTGTTAATATCCTCAGCTCGGGATTGGACAGGTCACCCATCTGAAAAGAATGAAATATTTAGTTTAGTATTGTTACTTTTTTAATAATGTGCGTAAAGAAAATTCCTGACATGAGAAGCAATGCTCTAAATCAAATAAAGGAAGGCTTTATATAAAGGAAATTCTTCGCTCTTGGCTCAAGTTCTACCGCTTCATAAAGTCGAATCATATTGTTATATGCTCTTATTTTTTAGATTCTATTGTATGATATTGATGCCTTTTCTAATAAATAAAGTATTATTAAATTTTTTATTGTTAATAATTTTATTTACTTAGAAAGACATTTTTTTTTGGAAAAAAGCCAGTAGTGTAAGATGGTTACTAACTTTTTGAACTTTGTCAGAAAAAGTTGAGGCAGTATTGTGCAAGGTAAAGATATTTAATTTTAAAATTAAAGGTGAAGCTGTAACGTTTAAATACAGTTTTTTAATTTATAAATAGTTTGCAACTTTGGTGGATGCGCCGGGTTAGCAAAATTTTCATATTACATTTCACGATAACAATTAAAATTAGTGAATTTTGTCAATCTTTAGTTTGAAGTAGAAAAAACTGTGACAAAACAAACATTAAAAACTTAATTGTTTTTTTTTCGAAACGTCGATATTTTTTATTTTCCCTGGTGTGTGTTTTAATTTCAAGTAATTTATTTTTTATACTTGTAGGTGTCGGTAAAATGATTTCCCGTCGTCCCATTAAATAACATGAGCTCCTTAAGTGAAAATAATAAAACTGACAGAATCTCATAAATATGCATTCTTTTTTAAGAGGTCCTCTAAGACTAAAAGCACAGTAAATATGCATGGGCTAATTTGTAATCTACTTTTAGCCAAAAATCGTCGTTAAATTACGGTACAATTTGCCATATCTTCGGGGTTCAAGTGGCTAGAGAGACATAAACGAAAGTGGCTGTAAGTAGAACGCCCTTCTTGTTATGCAAATTGTATTGTAGTCCAACTTTTAAAACACTCTTTAAGCCACCGAGTAATCATGCAAATTTCGCTCCGTGTACCTTTATTATAATTGCGTTTTTCATTACAGCTGCCGGTGAGTTATACAACATCACGTGCCTTTCGTATGGCATTTCTTGATTTTAATATCATTTCAACTTAATTGTTTTTATAATAAAGACGACGACGAAGTTTCTATTTTTATTTTTTCTCGAGTTAAAGTTTTAATTGCTTGAACCGCAGATAATGAAAGTTCCAAATTTTGTTCTTCTCTAATCAATAATACATGTAGGATTTCTAGTTTTTGCTTTATTATACAGGGTATCCCAGCGAATTGAAATAATCCATTAGTGACCTTTAAATGGTGAAATTACAAAAATTTGTATAAGACATTGATAGATATTAATCTAGTGCATCACCTAAAATTATTTTCAACCATCCAGCATGTCCCAAAAATAAGTTACGATACAAACTTGTGTTTTTTTTAAATGAAACACCGTATGTTTCTCTGCATTTTTGGATGTAGCCTTTTAAAACAATGTTTTTACGCTAAACTTTTATTAATCGATTTTGCTTAGTTTTAGAAATAAGAGGTTTTTTTGACGAAAACAGGCACTTTTTAAAAATTTATTACACAAAAACTAAGACAGATAGAACAATTTTTTTCTTACTTCTGCAAAGAAGAAAGTACAGAAGTTAAAGCTGTAGCAATTTTTTAGTGTTTTGTATTTGTAAAGATCAATAAATTAAGAAGTTTGTTAAAAGTTAAATAACTTAAAAAATTTAAATTGAACACCCTATTTTTTATTTTTGCATCTAATAGATTAATAAATTGTCTATCTAAAAAAATAAACTTTTAATGTCTCCAATTGATAAATAAAAAGATATTTAACATTCAATATTAATTGTAGCAACAATGCCTATCAAGCATTGTTGATAATATGGCAACTATAGTAATTCCACCACGGATCACTTATCCGTTGATTTATCCAGAGATTGTAAAAGTCGTTATAAGTACTGAAATTCGAATTATTTTATTGTAAAAATGAAGAATAATGGATTCAGTTTAACACAAATGTGATTATTAAGTGATATTTCTTCCATCTCTTGTGCAACTGTGCACTTTTTGGCTAGTGAAACAACTAATTATTTTTTTGTTTAACGTTAAATATCTTTTTAGTTATTGATTATAAACACCTAAAAGTAATAAATTTTAGAAAGACAATTTAATAATCTTTTAAATGCCAAAATAATAAATAGGGTGTTCTACTAAATTTTTTTAAGTTATTGAACTTTTAACAAACGCCTTATTTTTTTTATCTTTGCAAATGCAACACAATAAAAAAATGTTACAACCTTGTAGCTTGTACCTTCCTCTTTGCAGTAGAAAAAAATATTTCTATATTTTTCTATATTTTTTTAGACACGCTGTATAGTTGAAAATAATTTTAGGCGATGGATTAGATTAGTACCTATCAATGTCCTATACAGGGTGATTCTTAAATAGACCGACAAAAACTTATCCTTGGTAGTATCAAATGAGAACATGCTGGATAAAATATTTAAAAAATTCTTTGTTTAACCGTTCTCCAAATAAAATTTATTAAAGTTATTTTCGAGGTAAAGCGTACGCCACTGATGTGTTCGTAAATAGTATTAGCACAGGTAGTGGAAACCATGGTATTAATTTGATCAAAATGAACTTGATCATTGCAACAATTCATAAACGCCGTAAGTGGCACGGATCAAGGGGGTTTTGCCCCTACAAAATATAAACGTAAAAAGGGTACAGTTTGTCTCCATTTATACTAGGGAAGCTGTGATAAAATTTTGTCGGTCTATTTAAGAATCACCCTGTATAATTTTTTTTAAATTTTATTATTTATAGGTCACTAATGGACTTGTTCAACTCGCTGGGACGCCCTGTATACCGGGTTATAAAGTATGTGCAAAAGTTTTAACAAAAAAACGCAGTATAAATCTTTTGAGGACTTTATTCCAAAGTTTGTGATACCTCCAACAAAAAAATGGATTTCTGTGCTTGTTTTTGTAAATTTTAATTCAATTTTTTTTAAACAACGTAACATATTTTGAAGAACTAATCTCAGACATCATATTTGTTTATAATTTGAGTCGGTGGAGCCAAAGACTGCGCTCCAAAAATTGAAATTTATTCGGCGAATAAAATTCTCTGTATCTCAAAAATTATAAACATTTGCATAAAGCAAGTTGAGTTATTATGACTTTTTTTGGGCTCTACTATTACCTGTTAAAATATTTGCAAAATTGCAAAAAAACACCTTAATAAATTCTTTAATTGATGTGGAATTATAAATTTTGTAAAAAGAAATTAGGGTATATTTTAATTGGGGTCGCAGAGAAAATAACTGATTAAAATTTGAATAGGGCACATTCTACAGGGGATTGGTAATTATGACAGATGAATATGAGTTTAATCGATATAATATTGGCAGTTGGTTTATATCGGTGTAATCCGCTTGAGTGGTACGAAATACCAGCACTTGTCTCTCTAAGAGGGGGAAGTAATTTAATTAAGTCGCTATAATTGGAGGATATTAACTCATTAGGGTCGTACGATTGAGACGTTTAAAACATAAATTATGTAGAGCTAATGTAAAATCGTTTTTTTTTCGAATTTAAAACAATAATGGCATCATTAGGTCGTTCGAGTTGGATTTATGCAGACAATGTAAGTTCAGCCATAAATTATGGTTGATATCAGTGGATTTAATTATAAGTTAGGTGTATTTCAGTGGCAGCTAACCATAGGAGAGGAGGAAGTTCAAGTGTCGCGTATTTATAATGAACTCTGTCGTCGTTACTGATTCATCAGAACCTCAGAGGTGAAACTAATTAAAATTGAGTAATTAATTCTGAGACGACTTTTTCAGATTTATTAGTTCTTCCTGAGTTTGTCTTGATTAATGAAGTTTTTGTACAAATAAAAATTTGAATACAACATTTACAAGCAAAAAATCGTTGTCAACAACGATCATTTTTAATCTCTACTGCAATATTTTTGTTGGGCAAACACCAAGTGCGACTGTAAACATCAATTTATTTGAAATCTGCCACTATTCCCGCATTCCATTTGTTTAAAGTGGGTTGTCCCCAAAGATTTCCCCAGGCGGTGCCTTTTCCAGTTAAACAAGCTAACAAAACATGCGGTAAATATTTAGACAGGACTGGAGTCAGATTTTAGTCACGGTGTTTTGCAATATATCACAGTTATACCCAAATGTACTCTCCAGGATTTACCACTGACCGGTCCCCGACGACAGACCGACAAACAAAGAAACTCACACCTGAAAACAAACTCAACAAAACTGACTTTTTATTGTTACTTTTATTAGCCGATGCAAAAAGACGTTGAAGAGTAGAAACAATAAAACGAAAGCGATAGAACCTAACGATTTATCGAGATGATAGAACCAATAAACGCTTTGCACTTCAGTCGGCAATATTTACTTTCGCTGAAAAACTAAAACTAATGAATTGATCATAATATCCGCATCAAAACCCACGAAACGATTTATTGTCTTAAATTTTTTTGATATTTTACCAATATTTTTACTTTGATTCAAATGTGTAGGTGCCGAAATGTCCTATGTGGGCTTATATATACATCAACTTCAAACATTCGAATTTCAGTCGAAACAGCCCTTTGATCCCGTTTTATCGAGCTTGTGTAACTTTATATAATTACTTTTCTTGCCCTTAAAGTAAAAGCATTGACTAAGTCATCACAGAATCCACGAATTTGAAGGAAATAACGTTTTGGTGTTAACAGCGTAAATAATCTGATTCCGGTGGCATTACAATTTTACCAAATGCTATTTTTAAAATTTTAATTAAAATAAGTAGCTTTTGCGAATTTATAATGGCGCTGAAAATGTATTTAAGCAACATCGTAAAATAATAACAGCTACCTATGGTGCTGTTAGACTGACTTTAATTATTTTAATAGCTGGTCAACCCTTGAATGGGGTTCGACTTTATAGCGCATAACCGGTTTAATACACATGAACGCCTGTTAGGGCTGCGATTGTAAAAGCTACTAAATGTACCAATTGCTTAGATTAAGATTATGCCGAGTTTTAAGAAGTTTTGAAAATTTCTCAGAACTACTGTAACCGAAGTAGAGTTCGGATTTTGCAGTAAAATTACTGAAAATATGCGCATATACAGGTTGTCTCAGCGAATTGAAAAATTTTAGTAGTGATCTTTAAATGGTAAAAATAAAAAAATATGTATAGGACATTAATAGATACAAATTTAGTGCATCACCTAAAATTATTTTCAACCATACAGCATGTCCCAAAAAAAGTTACGATACAAACTTGTGATTTTTTAAATGAAACACCGTATGTTTCTTTGCATTTTTGGATGTAGTCTTCTGAAACAATGTTTTTACGGTAAACTTTTATTAGTCGACTTCGCTTAGTTTTAGAAATAAAACCTTTTTTTTTTGACGAAAACATGCACTTTTAAAAAATTTATTACACAAAAACTAGGACAGCTCGAACAAATTTTTTCTTACTTCTGCAAAGAAGATTGATAAATTGTCTATGTAAAAAAAAATAACTTTTAATGTCTAGAATTGATAAATGAAAAAATATTCAACATTACCAACAGTGCCTATCAATATCTGAGCATTGTTGATAACATAGTAATTCCACCACGGATCACTTATCCGTTGATTTATCCAGAGATTGTATGTAAAAGTCGTTATAAATACTGAGACTTGAATTATTTTATTGTAAAAATAAAGAATAATGCATTCAGTTTAACACAAATGTGATTATTAAGTAACATTTCTTCCATTTCTTGTGCAACTGTGCACCTTTTGGCTACTGAAAAAATAGTAATTATTTTTTTTAAGGTTTAACGTTAAACATCTTTTTAGTTATTGATTATAAACACCTAAAAGTAAATAATTTTAGAAAGACAATTTCATAATCTTTTAAGTGCAAAAACAATAAATAGGTGGTTCTATTAAATTTTTTTAAGTTATTGAATTGTTAACAAACGCCTTCATTTTTTTTTATTTGCAAATGCAACACACTAAAAAAATGTTACAACCTTACAGCTTGTAGGTACCTTCTTCTTTGCGGTAGAAAAAAAATTCTAGATGTCTTAGTTTTTGTGTAATAAATTTTTATGATCCTCTAACATCTCGCGTTTAACTTATATTCACAATATTAATTGTCTCAGAAAGGGACATTTGGCTAGTTGCTATTGGAGTAATATGCTTATTTAGAAACATATAACTTGCCTTAATAAATGCTAATGGTTTTCTTATATCTCTTTTATCAAATAAATGTTTACATTTTATTTTTGATTCAGAAAATCTGCCCGTTCTGAACACTTAAAATATGCTATTTTATGCGTTAAATATCAAAATTATGCAACAAATCCCAAAAACTTCAAGATAATAGAAAATATGCATTTTTTAATTGGCCTATTCGCATTGTTTTGATGTGTTTTGTAGACATTCTAAATTTAAAAAAAATATGTCTACAAATAATAAATATGCAATTTGCATAAAATCCGAACTCTAAACTGAACACTTTCATTTAATGTTTAAAATTTAATGCTTAAAAAACTTTCTTACTATAGAAAAATATGTATTGGATCCTTTTCATAATGATTAATAATGATTTATTATTTCCCCTACTGTCGTGACAACAATATTTGACATATTGGCTTTTAAAAATTTGGTAAATCTAAGTCTTGAGAGTAATAAGTTTTAAAGTATAAATTGGTATAGAAAGCAAATATTTATAAGAATAGATAAAATTAAGAATGATATTTAATTAACAAATACCAATTTGACAAAGATTATTATCAATCACGAGTGTAGAAAATCAAAAACTTAAAAATGTTACAGGAAGCATTAGAATTAGATTGTTATTGAATTTTGTTATTAGTTGTCATATGTCATTAAAAGTATTTCTTTGCTGGGTTATTATGCCATTTATTTTATTTTAATGTGTGACTGTCTATTTCAGGTAGAACTAACAAGCTTCTAATTATAGAAATTCAGTAAAAATTTAACACCTAGAAAACTTTCAACAGAAGTAAAACGTTCAGAATGACGTAAAGTCGTTTATTTATTCATTGACGGACTTGAAAAGAACTTTTTTTTAATGATTAATATACAATAATTTAACGTTATAAAAAGATGTTATTTTGAAGTTGTTTTTGACCTCTTTGCTAATTAGTGTATTTTGAGTATCAAACTGTTCTTTTTCCTTGCTACTCATGAAACAAGAAGGGCGTAAAAGAACATGTGAATCGGCATTTTCTTGAAGCCAATTAAAAAGTGCGCCTTCGTTCATTAGCAAAATAAACATTAATTATGAGCGCACTGATGAGTTTTTTATTTTTCGTTTGCTCGCATTTAAAATGGGAGGTGTTGAAGGCAACCTACCTGTAAGAGAAGAGATATAACCACGATCCCTTGAGCTTTGTGGAGCGCTTCCGAGAAGTTGGTGTAGAGTTGCGAGTTGAACCCGAAAATCTGTATCTGAAACAAACGGAATGTGTAGAATGCGTCCTTTCATTCTCACCGGCTGGTCCAATCATCACTTTATTGCTTTGCCGCTCATCGAATTTTCCACCCTCTGTCTGTTTCGTCGTCACCCCGTGATTTTATTTTATCACAGCCTACTCTGATGCTCCCGGAGATTTTTCGCCCCGACAGTTCACACGTCGAGCAAATATTATGATTACTTTAGCCTGACTCAATATTCGATTTCATATTTGACGACTTTCCTGCTTGCCGGCTTTGGTTCAGGTCAAAATCAAATGGCTGCGCCTCTTCCAGAACAACTGTTCGATATACTATGTCTGATTGGATAGAAGGGGATTTGTTCCTTTGATCTTTTATTTGAGAGATTGCCGTGATTATTTACGACAGGGCCAATCTAGACTCCAGAGATAAACCGTAAAAGGAAAAATTGACACGTGAGGAACGGCGACAACTAAAATCATATTTTTTATCCAGATTTTCAACTTTAAGACGCTTTACACATCCTTAATGAAATCTATGTTACTCAAAAGTGACGCTAGATTTTCATTTTTGTTGAATAATGAGTTATAATTTACGAGTAATTGTAAATTATTGTAAAAGATACCGACCAAAAACAGCAGTATAGTTTTTATAAATATAATAATAATGAAAAAGGGCCTTTATTAAATAAAATTCAACAGTAATACATAGATGAGGAAACAAAGTCTAGCTTAAAGCTATTCAACCTTACCTCAAAAAAAATTAACAGAAAAAATTATAATAAAAAAAATAATAATTATAAACCATATAGAAATTAAATGAACATAAATTCGGAAATTACTAAATAACTAAAAACTAAAACGATTGCCAGTCTATTAAAAACAAAAGCAATAAGAAAGAATTCTTAAAGAAAAAATGAAGAAAATTCAACAAAAATTTATTCATTTGCATTTATTTTCATCAATTGAAGAATTATTGGGAGTGCTAACAGTGATATTTATCTAAAATTTTGATTATAGCCATAATCGTTTACATCTAGTTCAATGAAAATATTTACAAGATTCCGGTTACAACGGAAATGGGTATTAACTTTGTTATTTTAAATAGAAAGTTATGCGTGTTATTGTGTTTTTGGATTAATCAAGTGATTTTGAGAGAGTTTTTATCAGACTTCTCTATACCTAAATTTAATTGTTTTTGAAGTATTTAAACTTTTTTGAAATTTTTTAAATTCGTATCTTCCTCACCAAAAAATCGATAAGTCTACCATTTTTTATTATTTTTAAATCATATTGGGGCATATGAAAAAGAAAAGTTAGATTTTTTTCGTGTATTTATGATTGGAAAAATAATTAACAAACCTCCAAAATTTAAGGTTACGTTTGGGAAACTTCAAATACCCGTAAATGAATTTTTTGAAATGAAAGGTCCCAATTTTTTTTCACTAGATGAAACAGAATTTAATTCTGCATCGATCTGTACGACATTCCTAAGATTAATGATTTCCAAGTTATTTTGACTTTTTTTTACAATGAAAGAAATTCATTACCATCCATGGTAGTTTTCGCATAGTTTGCCATGAAAATATTTCTCACTAAAAAACGCCCAGTTTTTTTCACAGTTATATTCTTTTAAATTTGAATAACTTTGATATTCTGTTTTTTTCTAATTTTTATGACAACCTATGCTAAAGCAACTATGGCTAATGAATTTCTCACAATATCAAAAAAAGTTACTATGACTTGAAAACTAGAAAACATAGGTGCAGAGAATGTTAATACAGATCAAAGCAGACCTAATTTTTTCTCCATTTTGTGAAAAAAGAGGTGTTTTATTTAGAAAAATTGAGTTAAAGGTATTTCACGTTTCTTAAACGTAACCTTACATTTTGGCGGTTTTTTAATTGTTTTTCTAATTATGAGTACACCAAAGGAAAGATCTAACCTTTCTTTCTCGTATACCCAAATACGGTTTCAACATAATAAAAATTGGTACAATTATCGATTTTTGAATAGGAAGATTCAAATCTAAAAAATTGTAAAAAGGTCTAAGAATTTCGAAAAGGGTTAAACTTAGGTAAAGGGAAGGCTAATAAACGCTCTCTCAAAATTACTTGAGTAATCTAAAAACGCAATAAAAAACATAACTTTTAAAATTAGTTGAGTAATCTAAAAACGCAATAAAAAACATAACTTTCTATTTAAAATTTAAAATATTTAGGTATAGGGAATGTTGATACAGATTGATGCAGAATTAAATTCTTTTTCATTTGGTGAAGAAAAAATTGGGGCCTTTCATTTGAAAAAATTCAGTTACGGGTATTTGAAGTTTCCCAAACGTAATCTTAAATTTTGGAGGTTGGTTAATTCTTTTTCCAATTATAAATACACGAAAGAAAAGATCTAATTTTTCTTTTTTTTTATATGCCTAAATACGATTTCAAAATAATAAAAAATGGTAGAGTTATCGATTTTTGGAAAGGAAGATGCAAATTTAAAAAAAATCCAAAAGTTTAAATATTTCAAAAACAGGAAGTCTTAAAATCACTTGAGTATTTTAGAAATGCAATAAGAAACATAACCTTCTATTTAAAATAACGAACTTGATATCCACTTCCGGTGTAACAGGAAGTGCCGTCATCTTGATATTTTCATTGAGCCGAACCTAACTGATTATGGCTATAAATAAAATTTTAGATAAATATCATTGTTAGAACTCCCAACACTTCTAATGTGGGGTTTAGCTGCAACAGCTTGTACTTATTACCTTTAGATAATAATTTGCAACAATAGAAAAAAATCTGTAAAAACAAGTCTCATTTCGAAGCTTAGAGTGAGAATTCAAACAAAGTTACTATTTGGTGGCATTTTTAAGAAAAATAGTTTTAGCAATATCATCCTTAAAAACATAAAAATGCAATCACGAACTAAACAGCGAATGTAAACTTTAACTTATTTCAAGTATTCAGCTCGAGCAGCGAGCACCTGACACATTTGATCTATAAGAAGCTGTTCAAGTTTATGTGAAAATTTTATAAGCTGAAGAAAACAACGTCCACACGAAATAAAATTTTCATTGTTTTTATTGCTAAATCGGTAATCCCCCTAGAACCATTTTCTTGATGTTTCAATTCAATCTTAACCTGGAAATGTGTTTGAAAAGTTTTCTTATTTTTAAAAATCAACGCTTCGATGGTTCAGTCGGGTTATCTACGATTAATTGAAAATTTGTTCTTCCTGAAACAAATCATTTCGTTAACCGATCGTAAAAGAGGATCTATATTATTTATTCGTGTTCAATGAGTTAGACGGTCGTAAACAACGGGAGGATCTTGGCACGAGTGAAACAGTAATTTGAATTATGGTGGGTTTTGTGCATCCTTAATTGATATTTGTGGCCTTATGGCCGCAATTGGAATCTTGCAGATAACCGCATTTAATTAATGTATGTCGAGTGTGCACTCTATATGCATGCTGGTATTGGGATTCATTCCGGATCTCTTTCTGTGTGCAGTGACGTGCAAGTCCTTTGTTACAACTGATAGGATTGTTTATTTCAATGCCGGATTAATCTTTATTTCAGCGAAAAATTCATAGCCAAATGATATTAAGGATTGAGTTATTACGAGAATATTAAAATCATAAATCATTCCTGCGGGTAAGTAATTAGACTCATTGATATCTTTATGAATTTATGAAATCTCGAGCTTGCGACAATTAGAATTTCTGATGGCTCTTCCTTTTAATTCGGTTATTAGGAAGTTCAGCTGTCGGATATTAATCTCGCTTTAATATTAGTCTCTAGAGCCGATCCTGATTTGCCTTATCTTAAACTTTACATAAAGTTTATTGAATCAGCACTTGGTTTGTTTAGAACGAATTCTCGTGTTTCTTGCAAGTTTTTCTTTTGAGAAAAAGGGTGTGAAAGTTGTCTAAACTTGTGCCATTACATCTTAAATATTTCAAACGTTTTGTTTTTTATCGAGATAAAAGAAACTTTAAAGTTCAAATGCTTTTTAAGATCATCTATTTTAATGTTAAACTCTGGATATTTAAATGGATTTTTGATGTTTGCGTGTTACAAGATAATGCACAATGTTAAGGGTTTTGGTTCGAGATTTAATAAAACGTTTTTCTATTTGACATATGTTGATATAAAGCTAAAAGCTTTCATCTTATTTCCTAACTCACTTCAGCTTATAAGTTTATTGGATTTGCTGAAAAAAGGTTCGATCCAATTTAGGCGTCAAGAAATGACACACAATGCCTTATTTTTGTGCCCCCCTCCCTCAATTCAGTTTTTTGGTGGCAACTTCACTGACAAGGGTTAATTTGCAAAGGGATTAATCAGAATTAAATATGTGCGGTCGAGGCAACTATTGGCAAGTTCTGTTTATCACTAGAGGATTAAGGGTACGGCTATCGAACTGTATAAAGGGCACAACGCCATGCCTAAGTATTTGTGGTCGCACCTAACGTTAAATATCGCGATTAACTGTAATCTGCTCAGAGGGATAGTTAGCAACATGCAGCGCTAATGGTCCTCGGCGGCTTCCAACAACACCAACTGTTGTACTAACTTAATGCATTTGTATCTATTTACATCTGAACAGATGCGGTTTGAGCGCTAACGAATGCACTGTTTATGACAGGTCAACCAAACGTTCGTTACCTCAGACAATAGTCTTTTTAGTTTGTCTTTCTCTAATCTAGTTAAATGCAGATAACTTCAATTACAGAATTACGGGGAGCAGAGCCAGAATCAATCGAATGCATTTAATAGGAACCAAAATAAGCTTTCCAACAAAGCAAAATAACAAAACTTTACAAACAAAACAAAAGATTTTTCTAATCGATTCAATACCCTGACCGATTAAAAACAATTTAATTTAATTTAATTTTTTTGTCTTTGATTAAATGACAATACAAACCGACATGATTTTTGGGGTTTAAAATGTAATTTTTCATTAATTTAGTTAAAAAAAAATGTACAGGCTGTTTCGGCTAAACCCCACATTAGAAATATTAGGAGTTCTAACAATGATATTTACCTAAAATTATGTTTATAGTCATAATCGATTAGGTTCAGCTCAATGAAAATATTTTCAAGATGGCGGCACTTCTTGTTACACCGGAAGTAGATATCAACTTCGTTATTTAAAATAGAAAGTTATGTTTTTTATTGCGTTATTGCGTTATTAGAATATTCAAGTGATGTTGACAAGTTTTCATTAGTCTTCTCTACTCCTAAGTTTAACCGTTTTCGAAATATTTAGACTTTTTTGAAATTTTTTGGATTTGAATCTTTCTATTCAACTCTACCATTTTTTATTATGTTGAAACCGTAGTTGGGTATACTAGAGAGAAAGGTTAGATCTTTCCTTTGGTGTATTCATGATTGGAAAAATAATTAATAAAACTTCAAAATGTAAAGTTACGTTTTGGAAATTTCAAATACTCTTATCTCAATTTTTCTAAATGAAATACCCCAATTATTTCTTCACTAAATGGAGAAAAATTTAATTCTGCTTTGACCTGTATTAACATTCACTATACCTATGTTTGATAGTTTTCAAGTTATAGTAACTTCTTTTGATATTGTGAAAAATTCATTAGTAGCATAGGTTATAAAAATAAGCAAAAAATAGAAATATCAAAGTTATTCAAATTTTGATTAAATAAATTTACTATGTACCTATTTACTAAAAAAATAATACAATTGCGAAAGGGCTGTGGATTATACTTTAAGTTGTAAAAACACTTAAAACAACGCAAACACTTACTTTTTTCTCTTTTTTTTTAATCAATGTTAAAGGTAAAAAAATATTTTCCATAAAATCATAAGAGGATCTTATAAGCCATTTATTCCAGTTTTTGACACTACCTTTATATTCTCTGTGTGGCCATTGGTTGTTGAGATATCGATGATCAAAGACAAGAGAATCCTTTTTCATTTAATGTCAAATTAACGTAAAGAAAATATGAAGAAAGCATATTAATGGTAAACAAACATGCTATCCGGCCTATGCATTGACTTAACTAAAAAAAAATCCCTACGTCCGTGGATTAAAAACAAAAACATTAAAATTAAAAATTACTATTACTTGATACTACTACTTACTATTACGTGATAACCGAAGCACAGAAAAAATATTTGCTAAAAAATATCAAAACTAGAAGCTTAAAGCTTCAAAATGGTGTTAAAATCTAGATTCGACCATTTTTCGATGAGTTACAGCCTTTGAAAAATCACCAAAAAATTTAGGAAATTTTTTTGTTCCTTTAATTTTTTCGAGTAGTGTAGATAAAGCGTGGATACTTCTGAATTTAGGACAGATGAAATAAAAAGAAGCAGCTTTTAAAATTAAAACACTTCCCAGAACTTTTTCATTATGTTGGCCTGTGTAATTATTTTGTATATTGAAAACAATATTGTTACAGATTAATTAGTCCGGACAACAACAATAAAAAAATACAGTTGGAATTTTTATTAGATGCCTAATTGTATATTAAAAACTAGAGTAAATTAACAGTCGTTTCTCATTCAGCATTTTGCATAATTGACCCTTTAACCCAAAAAGCTGTCCTTGAACTTTTTATTGCATTTAGTGGATCGAGCCGCTTTTATTAAATAAGTGATGCGGTGGCTGGGAATAAACCAATAAATGTGATAAAGTTTTCTTATCAATTTCAATTATTTATAGAGGAACACGTTAAATTCGCACCACGTACGTTCGTAAGACGTCGAAATTTATCGGTTTTACGTTACCGTTTCATTTAATAAAACCATAATTCACATTAAGGCAACTGAACATATTTGTGTTTTCTTAAGAATTGTCGAATTTTGATTTTGCATCATTTGGGGTTCCAAATAATAAAATCGTCTAACGAATGGATTACGGATTAGGAACTAAAATTTTAATGAAGACGTAATTCCACTTGGGGTGCTCGAATTAGCGTCGATAGTAATTTTTAACCCTCAAGCTTGGTTTCAGTTGGGACTGATGGGGGCAGAGGTAGAAAGTCGCACCGCAGGGACTCATACAGCTTGAGTTATTCTCATCTCGTTCTCCTTTAAAGTTCACAAGCAAACTCGCTATCATTAAATACTTTGTTGTCCGTCTGATCCAGACATCCGACCTTTGCCAAATTAAAACCAAAAAATGCGATACTTTATTAAGTACGGAGTTGTGGAACTGAATTTCAAGGTTTACGAGACTGCTTTTGTGTAAAAGGATTTGTTTTTTACGTGAGCTTTGAGATTGTATTTTACGAATGACACGTCGGATACAATATTGATGTTGGAAAGTTTCACTACAAAAACAAAGCCGCTAATTACCATGGGCGGCTGTTTAAAAGCTTTAAATTCAATATACACGTTTCTGCCTTGTTTAATAAAAAAAAATGGAATTTTTTAAATGAAAAAAATAAATTCCACTACAAGGCTCTTTATAGTCAAGTACGTAAGCACCTCTCGAGGAAATTTCTATTCAAATTGTTGTGACAGGATTTTTTTTTAAATTACAATATCAAACTACCAAAATACAAAATTTTGTATAAATTTTATTATTTAACAACAAAGTTTCATTAGGTATATTTTGATAGATTTAAAAGTCTAAATCACAATTTGTAAAATTTTTATTAAGTGCATTTTTTCCGAATAACTGTTTAAATAAAAAACAAAATGAATACCAATCCTACTTCAAAATTGATTTTTCATCTAACCGTTACTTATCCTGGAATACGTATTTTGTATTTTATAACCAATACTCAAGTCACAAAGTTATTATGTTTTATACTTGAAAGGCGGTATATCAGAAAATTGGTTAAACTTTGATCAAATAAAGGGACACTAAAGTAAGCTACTAAAGACCAAAACAAAGCTGTAAAAAATCGTCATTTATGTTTTTGCTTACTTTTAATAAAATTTGTTGTTGAACGTTTGGAAAAGCAATAAAGTGCATTTAAATCTTCTTTTTTTTTAAATAGGCACAATAATCATTGAAAAAAACTTACCTCTGCTGGGAAGTTGTATCCATTTATTGAATGTTCGGACCCAAACTGATCGTGGAGTCCGTAGTGAATATGGATTTCTTGAAACTGATATTTATAGGATAGAGGTCCTCCAGTCACATTTATGTGATGTCGAGTGTCGTTATCTACTGTAAATATTACACTATGGCCCGTATTCATGATGGAACCGCTCACCTGTAAAAAAATATAATTTCAGTATGATATACAAGAACTAGTGCATAATTAAGTACCCGTTATTTTTGGGTCTGGTTATCCAGAGATAGCTGTATTCCTGTACTAATAAATTTCTTAAAATCGTCGAAACTATAAACGGATCCACCTGTCTAGGTTTTGAATAATCTATGTAATAGTCGAGAAGCTCCATTTGCAGCAGAATGTACTTATTCAATGCAAGGTTTAGCACTTGATGGTTATTTCTTATTAATCGCTGTTGACAACTGTCAAATCGTTTATTCTTTTCAAGTGATTTGTTTTGTATATTTTGCATTTTTATAAAATAGATTAGCATACTTATAGTCAGTGATAAAGGATTCTTAAAATTTTCTTAAATCGTAAATTTTAAATATTACTAAGGATAATTAATTAGATTATAAAGTAATGTTGAGTGTACACGCGATAGATTGCAGAGTAGATAAAACTGTAGCAACCTAGAATTTCTAAAGCTTCCTTCTTTTTAGTGGTAAACAACGAACCGTATTTATTGCAATTAGTTCCTTCCTTTTTGTTCCAATTTGAGTACCTAGTTATAATAAATTGGCTGTATTTCTGTAAACTTTCCAAAAAGGTAAAAAACCATCGCTGTTAATTACCAGCAGTAAACATACTGAATTTGCTAATGAATAGCCGAAACTTCTTCTCTTATCAAAACGTGGCATACGATTTTCTATCTCTGAGTTGATTTCGTGTAAATTCTTGTTAAAAGCATTTCATTATTGTAATCCTCGTGACAAAGTCCGCGTAATCGTCAGTTGTTGGAAGTAAACACATGTCTGCGAGCGCAAGAGGGACACGTATAAGCAGTAAGCTTCTTACCCTGTGTTTATCGATGTGAAGGGGTCGAAGGTTTGGGTCGAAGAGCAGCTTATTCGGCTCTAGATTAACCGGAGACTGCCTTCGTCCCTTGTTGCACAGTGACCATTCTGGATTTATCAGGCCCCAAAACGCTGGACCTGAAAATAACACCACAGTTGCAGCACGAAATCCTTGTTTCACACCTCAGTAAAATCTTGCTTAAGTTGATATGATTATAATAGATTGACTGTGTACGTAATCCGACAACGATACACGTTAATGGGTAGTCTACACATTCTAATCAATTTCCACGCTGCGCTCGCTGATGTATACATACTTTTAATTAGTTTATGACAACAAATAGAGATTGTCGCAAAATATTTGTTAAATGAATATCACCTATTTGATTGTTGCAAATTTTATTCCACTTGTCTATGGGATTAAAGGGCTGAGCACTAACAAAAAATTTATGTTGTACAATACAGAGTGGTCCAGAAGTTTGGAAACAATTTTTTTCAGGCGAAACTATCAATTTTTTTGGCAATAAAATTTAAGGTGTGCAATGGCTATTATACTTACGAGATAAACATAGTAACAATTTTTTTTTAATAGGAACCTACCACATTTTTTTAGACAACAAGCTTGTTACAAGAAATAAAATTTGGGAGATATGTTTCTTAGACGGTGTACAGCTTCGCTAAGAAAAGATTTTTCGAAAATCAATCTATACGAGGATGAAATGGGGTGTAAATATTTAAACGAAGATAGAAACAAACAAATTGAAAGACATGTTTTTTAACAGTTGTATAAAAGTGCACTAAGACGAGGTTTTTTAAAAATATAAAATAAAAACTTATTCATCCCCTTAGAAAAGAGAGTGAAACGGGGTATACACATTTAAACAAAAATAACAATATGAAACTGAGAAGATATGTTTCCTAGAGTGTGTAGAGGTTCGCTAAGAAAGAATTTTTCGAAAACTAATCTCTAAGGGGATGAAATGGGTGGAAACCTTTAAACGAAGATAAAAACATAAAATTTGGGAAACATATTTTTAGAGGGTGTAGAAAAGATTTTTTGAAATTATATTTTAAGAGGGTGAAATGGGTTTGTCAACACTTACACGAAGATAGAAACATGAAATTTGGAAAATATTTTTCCGAGAAGTGCACTAGTCAGGCACATTTAAAAAACCAAACTATAACGGGATGAAATAGAGTGCAAACATTTAAACGAAATTATAAACATAAAATTTAGAATTTTGACTTTTGAGGGTGTAGAAGAATACACTTTTTGAAAATTCAACGAGGTGAAATGGGGTGTAAGCGTTTGTAACGTGCTTTCATCATTTTCTTAAAAATCAGCTCTCTGCTCCTACGTTGTTTTGAGTTGATGAATCAAGAAAAAAATAGATTAACAGACTAACTTCACATTCAGACTTTGAAATTAACAAAAGTTTATATCGAAAATCTACGTGATTAAATGATAAAGAAGCGATGCGAAAATATTTTTTATTTTAGTTAATTGTTTAAACTTTTGAGATTACCATACTAATAATTTTTTTCTTAAATAAAAACGATGAACAAAAACACGATTAAACCCGTCACACCAAACTTTTATTTCAAACACAACGCGTTTCAACCACAAAGTGGTCATCCTCAGGTGAGAATAATACTAAAAAGTTTTATAAAAAGTTTGGTGTGCCGGGTTTAATCGTGTTTTTGTTCATCGTTTCCATGCCAAGAGGATCCATGAAGAAGTAAATAAAAACGGTTTTTTATTTATTGTTTTACTAAGATATCTTTATGCATTTTATAAATGCACAAAAA